AGCTCAGAATTTCAGAACCCACAACAGTTGTAATCTAAGCAGCTACAAAAACCCTCTAAAATAAACCAGCCAGAGACATAAGTATACTTTTATGTTACAACTGCTCTGTATATGAAAGAGCAATCGCCAATAGTACAATTTCATCTCATTCAAACTTGAATACAACTGTTGACAAACAAACAGATGAAATGAGGATGACAGAATGACTCTCTTATTAAACTAGTAACAAATGCTCTAAATAGAGGCTCTGAAATCTACTGGCCTGGTTCCTTGAAGGATATCCCAATCAGTTTTTAGATGGTTTAGCACTATAAAATGCCCTCGAGAGTATTCAAATTATTTATTTAAAATATATACATATGCATACAACTGGGCTGCCACTGTGACGCCACATAGTAAATTCAACACACTCCAGAATACAGAAAACAGATAAGCTATTTCCTTATGTTTTAACATGCGTTTTTATAGCAGACATGCAATTCAAGCGTGACTGAACAAAGAAAGAATCAAGGCAGAACAATGATCAATATTTCATCAGGCAGAATTAAAAAAATATATTACATGTAAAATTACAAAAAGGTAAATCTATAAATTATGTTGAGCCTAACCCTACAACTGTTACATTGACAGAGACAGTTGCTTAATTCTATCAAGCCAAGCTTCTCTGAAGCTGTTTTAAGGAAGACTGTAGGCCTTTTAACTACTGGACTAGGAGAATTTGGATTCATCAGCACATTTTCAAGCTTAGTAATAATTGGCCTGCACCACTATGTGTGTTCTAGCCTAAAAATCTATTTGGATGAAGCAAGAGAATCCAGTACTAATTTTGTGATAGGAAGCGTTGCAGGTGTATGCTACGTTGTCAATGTAATAGGCTTCTTCCAAAGGAAATTTATAACAATGCTAGATAACAGACCTAAATACAGTATTTCATAAAATCACGCTATGGAAAAATTGATTTCCTAATGCAGATGTAAAAATAATTCTGAATGAATGTGAAACAAAAATATCATCGATGATTCTCCAATACATTTTTATCATACATATTTAAGTGAAAATAATTTGAAAATACAAGATGGACAGTTAAAATTTATTCAATATGGCCAAACCAGTCCCACATTTCTTAGAATATCACATTTGTAATTATTCTATTCAGCCAGTGCTCTGTAACAATAAAAACCGAAGTAGAAAAATTGGGTGAAGAACACTGAACGTGAAGAGAAAGAGAGAAAGAAACAATCTAAGGTCAAAGAATACAGTATGCCAAACTTATATTTCATTATTATTGCATTAAGACAGTTAATTTATGGTTAATATTCTCCACAAGTTGTGACCTTTTAGGGATAGCCAAGTAAAAGCAAAATGGCATCATCTGGTTGTAGAAGAAATCAGTTCGAATTAAAACAAAAGCTGTGGGAATTAATAAGCTGCTGCAGATTCTAAGCTTGTGAGGATATCTTGCTCTGTTGAGCACAAAATATAAAGCAAAGTTTTTTGGAACCTCTAGTGGAGGTTCTAGAGACCACCAACTCTCAGTCAAAAGACTTCTCAGGAAAGTTCACAACATATCTGTTCTCTTTTTCCATGGATTTAGTTATCAGGCAAAATAAAAATTTTATCCCATCCTTCACTATGTCCTGCTACCTTTCACTAATATTAAATATAAAATACAGTGCAGCCTAATTCTTATCTGCTCTCAGAAACAATGCTGTAATAAAGTAATTCCCGAGTCAAGGAGTTTCTATGTTCACAAGATGGTTACAAACCAGAGAAAACTGTCACGCTTAAAACAACCTGCTAAGTCATATTGTTTTATTGATTGAAGTGTTGCCCCTTTTGGTAAACAATGGAAACTCAGAATGTCGAAAACCAGCTTCTAAAACCTAACTAATATAGCATTCTTACCCACCAAGAAATAGCTTATGAATGAATAGAAGTGAAACAATTACAAATTACTAAGGTTATTTTTCTTGTTTCTTTCCCATAAAAACACATGAAAAAGCTAGGATTTTTCAGCATTATTTATTTGTGAGTGTCTAATAGGCTATAGTCTAATAGGCTTATGTTGCCCTTTAAAGAAATACTACTCATTTTAATAATAAAGTTAAAGACCTAGAAAGTTTTAAGAGTTTGTATGCACATCAGCATGCACATGCATGAAGAACATCAACCTCTGCATCTCAACTTCCCCAAAAAGAACAACAAAAGCCTTACAACTCTTTGCATATGTTTCATTATGCTGTGCTGTCATGTAGAAAGATCAGGGTTTAAAGTTTATGATCCTGAATGGAATAGCAAAAGAAATATGTTATCTGTTAAGAAATACCCACTCTTGATTTTGCATCAAAGAATTTGAAACAGTCACAGCCCTGTCCTCCTACATGAACAAATGGCAATGATTACCAGCCAAATGGTAATCTAGACGACTAGATACAAAATTGGGTAAGGAAGCATGTGGGAAGTGGATGAATATCTTTGCATGAATTACCTTTCAGTTACTTCTTCTATTTAAAAGGATCAATAATAATATTAGTCATTTAGATTTAATATAAACTTTGGATGATAACACTGCCAAGTTACAGTAGAGATAAGAACATACAATATATTAAGAAACCTCTTTCACTATAACTTTGAGGCATTTGGCTGGTGGTTACTGCCAAAGACTGAATAGCATCTGCTCTCACTTTAGCAGTTTATATTCTGACTCTGGTGAATGGAAGCACAATCTCTGAAACAGCCTTTGGGGAACACTACTGAGTTGCTCGACAGAGCTCTTACTCAGAAAAGAGAGGAGATTAATATTACAGAAAACTTGAAAGATCTAGCTTCTGAGAAAGAAGAGCAGTTTCCTAATACTGTACATACCACAAATCTCTCTTTTACTAAAACATTAAAAATGTGCCCTAAAACTAAAGTGATCATTAAATATTAATAGATTTAAAGGTAGAAAATAAGGTCTGTTTAAGTCATATTCAGGTAAAAGTAAGAAGAAACAATACATTTTATCTCATTTGTCAACAGGCGTAACGAAAACAAAAGAATGAGGACTCACATAACATACTTTCTTTTTCCTAATGTTCTTGAGAAGGTCATAGCCTCCTTTGCTTAGTCCTGGTGTGTCTAGGCACAGCAACATATGGTAAGACTGAGTTTTGTCGTGAACTTAACAGTGTCGTTATTTTAAGTGCCCAGTAGCACAAACTACTAAATTTGTGTGTGGTCCTATGCAAACAACAAATCTGGCCACACACAATGAAAACCAAGCTTCTAAAACTTCAAAATCAGCTGAAGGAATTCTCTCCTCAAGAGCCATAGATCCCAGATAGTAGCCACTCCTGAACCCCACAGCCACTTTCAAAACTATAAAAGGCTTCATGTAAAGCCAAAATAAAGCTCTAAAAGTGGCTGCAGGAGATCACTAGGAGTGGCCGCTCTTCTGGATTCACTGCTTTTGAGAAGTAAATCCCTGCAGCTGCTTTTAAAAGCTTTGAAAGTTTCATTTCAATTATCAAAGCCAATAAAGCTTCAAAAACAGCCATAGGGATTTGTTCCTCAGAGGAGCAAACCCCAAAAGGCAGTGATGAATAGTGTGATGGGTTCTGTGGCTCTTAAAGTATGTACAGATTCCTGTAAGTCCTGCACTTGTAATTACAGCTTCATGTTGTGCAGCAATTGTTACACCCAGACATTTCATTAAGGCTTATATGGCAAATTCATTACTGATTTCCCATTCTTTTTAACAGTTTTATGTCTGTTTCCTTTTTGTTTTCTTACACCTGTAAAAACTATTATGTGAGCATCCCTCACAACAGTTTCTCAAACAAATTTCATTAAAACCTTGCTGGCTTCCTATCTCAGGTGGTGGTAAGCCATCTCACAAAATGTTGCAGATCGCTTTCCCAGACTGCATCACATAATGCCATCATCACATCATCGCAACATGATAACTATAGCATGCAAAATAATCCATATCTCTGAATGAGAACTTAAAAGGACACTAATTAAAATACAAAAGTGAAGCTTGACAATAAGTCAATGAAGAACTTTGCCTGCAACTGCAATATAAAAAGGCTTCCATTAATTCAATGAACATAAACACAAATAACACTTCAGAAGTAACCGCATGACTTAAAAACTTAGCTGTACTGACTTGTAACAAGGTTTTGGTCTCATCTTTAAAATTACAAGAACTAGATTCCCAAAAATTTTACAAATTTAACTAGTGACATAAGCATAGTTCTAAAAGAAATATATGATTTATGCCCCTAAATAATTTGAGCTTAGTATCTTAAGAAACTGATGGCTCTGAAAATATTACCAAAATTATGTTGAAAAAGATACATTTAGGTACTAGAACATACATAGTATATTAATGAAATATGTCATATAAAATACATTCTGAGCCTACTTACTAACCTTAAAACATCACTAATTTTGAATACTTATTTTTTCTACTACAGTTTTTAACTTCTATTTTCAAATGGCAGAATGAATAAATACACCTTTTTGCCAGGATAAATAAATACACCTTTATGAAAAAATGCTATAAGAAAATCACTATGAACTTAAATAGATGCAGGTGTTAAGAACTGAATAACTGGTTAGTATGGGGAAAGAAAATCTTGACAGATAACTTCAACATTCTGTTAAATGTTATTCACAGGTGTCCTCTGTGACCTGTACTACTTACTCTACCTCTCTGTTTCAATCTTCTCATGTGTAAAACATGAAGGAGGATTGTGAGAAATAATTAATGTTTGCAAAGAGCTTTGAGATCCTTGGATATAAAAAACACAGGGAAAGCATGAAGTATAAAAGTACCAGTATACTATTTTTTTCCAACTTGAACTAAGTTACTTTTATCACAAAAACCTTGAAAGTTTAGTAATACAAGATTATGTAATAAAATACTTAAAAAACAATCTTAAGTGCTAAGCATGTTCTCAGAATCTCGTAACTCCAAAAGAAACACTATCAAAAGGAATGGACATGTTTCTCACCCATTTCAAGTATGCGTTTATGTAGAGGTATAGCAGCAAGAAAGGGTTCATCTTTACAGGACTGTATCTGGGTTCCAACCAAGTCAGAGTTGGCAGCCATAATTCGGGCACTTTCTTCATTAAGATTAACACCAGCCATAGAGGCAACATCATTGATGTCATCATCATCTCTATAATGAAAAAAAAAACCCCAAATAAAAATAATTCTGCATATGACACATTCATTTTGTATATTATCTGCTTCTCCAAAAGTAATCATCATGCAACATGCCCAGTGGCTGGGCCAACTTGAGGCACAACCACTAGGGTCTCCATTTTCATAGAATATATTCCAGATTCAGAACTGACTAAATTTTTCTCTGATCACATTAGGAATACTTAGAAGCAGGACAATTTGTCTGTAACAGAAAGTGAGACAGAGGTGTCGTGTCTTCATCTGAAAGTCAGTGATATCAATGAAACCAGATGGTCAGGAAACTAAAGGCAATGATCACCACTAAAGACAGAGCATTTGGCTATTCTCTTTATGCTAAAAACTAGGAGTAAAATGATAAAATAAATAAAAACCCCACAGACATTAAAAGCAAAAACATGAATTTGGAATCCTGCACTGTTTCACAAGTTCCTATCAAAATGGGCACCAAAGCATTTTCAGCAGTAGTCAGGAAAGATTCTTTGACCATGATGAGTTCATAAGTAAGTTTGGGTTCCAGCTGTAGTTTGAATATGCGCTGGTATTTTTGCTGGCAACATACAAAAATCAGTTGAACATGTCAACTACTTTTAGAAAAATTAGCTGCATTTGAGAAGATGATAGCAGCACTTCCCAGGCCACTATTTGCCCCGCAATACCCTTCCTAACAGCTTGAGGAAGTACTAACAAATTTGAGTTTCCATACCTGTATCTCTCAAGCATCTTTTACCTCCTACCTCTGTGAGGTATGACTCACAACTGTGGAAACAACCATCTGTTTTTAGCACATGCTGTTTAGGAGTTATTACTGACATGAACACTGTATTTCAGCATATTCTAGGAGCAATTACACAACCTTTGAGAATGTATATATGGAAAAGATCCACATAGATCCAAGTCCAGACTCCTACTACTGCATAAAGCAAAAAAAAAAAAAGCTTAATTTAAAAGGTTTTTAAAAAATTATTACATAGATATCCTATGCCCTCCAGAATACTTTCTGTCACTTGAAACAAGTTTAACACATACAGTAAAAACCGAAAGCTACAAGTAACGTCTGAGAACAAAAGGAAAGAAAACTAGAAATCCATAATCTAGGTCCTTCCTGTCCTCCCATACTCTCCTTGGTATCTGTGCTAGAGCAGCCAATTTTGGTGGAAGACTTGTATGGTTTGTTAGATACTGGTTTTGTTTTCCTTTGTGGGAAGAAGAAGTTAAGGCGGGATTTTTGTTTGTATAAACCTACAGAAATGTGCTGAACATTTGAGACAGAAAATGGAAGATTTTACAATGATTGTCAGGAAAATGCTACACAAATGAGCTGTTATTATTTTCCATGAGTGTTAAGCACTTGAATTTCTTCTCTTGGAATGAAATTCCTGAGGACAGTGTCACAAAATTGATCTCCTGCCTTAATGGTTTTCATGCTGAGTCTAAAGGATTTTCATTTTTACATTTCACATGGCATGTATGTGATACTCATAGGAGGGTCGCAAGAGCCACCATGAAGAAACTGGGCTCCTATGCATTCAGCGCATAGATGACCAAACTACTCTTTGGCCTTGTCCAACCAGTTGTGAAATGGCCCCCAAATATCAGAGCTGATAAATGTACTTGGCCACATAACAACTAACAGTGACTTAAATATTCAGTGACAAGTTCAAAAGATTCCAACTACAAATGAAAAACAGCAACAAAAACTGAAAAAGGGGAAAAACTAAGATTTTTGGGGGTTAAAAACCTCAACGCTTAAAATAGAATGAGCATCACCCAAGGTAATCTACCCAGGACTCACAAGGCCCAAATGCAGCAGGCCTTTTAAACCATGGCAAAACCAAATTCATATAAAGGTAGTTATGATAACACAAACTCAAAACTATGTAAGATAGTGGAAGCTACTGGAAAACAGACTTGAGCCCAGAATTTCAAAATAAAGCTAAAACCGACCAAACTACAAAACATTAACCAGCTTGTGCAGTTAAAAAAAAATAATAATCCAATATTGATTCCCAGTGGACCCTCACATCTCTGTGGGTGCAAAGGCAGCGCTGCTTCTCTGTGGGGTCTGGCAGTGCCTGGGTACCGCTGCCTGCTGAGGGGACCTATGCACAAAGACTCAAAGGATCTTGATAAAATATTAACTGAGCAGGAAACTCGTATGCTTTCCCTATATATAGTCCCCATGATCTCACTTGCTTTAGCAAGCATTTATCACACAGTTACGCACCATCTGGCTAGCAGTAAGTAATAGTCTCAATCCGTATTTCCAGATCAGGTTGCCAGGACTGAGGTACTTTCACGTCCTTCAAGCAATCATCCATACAAAAATTAAGATAGCACTCCTGACTTCAATAACACAATTTTCAAGAGAAGTTTATACTTATGTCTACTCTTACTTAATAGCTGAAGAAAGTACAATCAATCTTTTACCTTCCTTCCGCTTAGCTTTTTAGCTAAACCAGGATTCCAATGAAATTATCAAAATCAATGCAATAGCACTTATAAAGACCATCACTGTAACTCCTGGACAGAATCATTTCCTTCCATCTTACATTGGCAATCTACTATCTGTGAGTACATCTGTATTTTTTTTTTTTTAATGTTACATGGAAGATAGATATGAAATGTTTTAATCATAGTTGGGACTACAATTTTTTCAGTCTAATGGGAAAAAACTCTATCAATATATCCTTTTTGACTCTGAGGAACTTCATCACGAAAAAGAGCTTGGGTTTGGATACAAAACACACGCACGTTTATATATAAAAAGGGCTGGCATTCTTGCCAAACAATTTCCTATAAAAGTCAACTTTTAAGTCCAGATGAGTGAGTTTTCAGAAGTCATTCTGTGGAACAAAGATGCCATCCAGTGGTTGCCTAGATAGACAGTAATCATCAATCTTTCCCTTTTCATCCCAGCACAGTATTTAACAATTTCATGTTTCTTGGCATATATCGTACTGTGCTCATACTAATTATACTGTTTCAGTAATTATTTCTGTTTTTTACTGAATTAAATTCTGAGTCTTATGGGATAAATCTAACATTCCAACATGCATGCTATTTTTAAGAAGAGAGCATGGGTTCTCAAAGTCTTTCCAAACGCAGGCTACATCTTAAAGTAGCCTAAGAGTTCAATTCTTCCTCCTATATTCAAACTCTTGTAACACCTCACCCTCTCCTCTTCATTAAAAACACTCATGCAATTACAAAAAAAACCAAAACCCTTATTTGAGAATAAGAAAGAAAAAACAAAGTATTCGCACAGTTGTCTGTAACATGCTTCAAAGATTTTGTTTAAACTAAGACAAGCCATTATAAAAATCTGGTAGCATTTTTTTTATTAACAAATCTTAACTGCATGATTGCATACTGTTTTTCTTTCTCATGCACTTTGTAAGATTTGAGCCAATGATGTCCAAGTCTGCAATACTCAACTGCTCCCAAATAAGCTATAAGAATACATAAAGCAACTGAGACAACACTGTACTATTGATCCTCCTCCCTCTCAAAAGTGAAATTTCATGTTTTTAGGACA